TGCTGATTCACCGAGACCGCTGCGGCTCAGCAAAGAGACATGCGTGTGTGTGTGTGTGTGTGTGTGTGTGTGTGTGTTTTCCTTTGAAAAATTTTCCCCAGAAATACTTTGCTATTTAATGCATTTTTCCTTACAAATTGTATTATCAGCATAACAATTCGAGTAAATGTGTAAAAGGTATGGCATGAATTCGCCATCCTTCTAGAACAATGTGCATTTATGATAAAATTATAACAAATTATCAAGTTTAGTTATTTTTATTTCTTTATTGCAAAATGCTAAAACTGGCACCGTTTTGGAGAGAAATGGGCTCTCATTTTAACCCATATCATGGTGTGTGATGCTGAACTATGAGTTTCTAATGGTGTTTGTATTTGCACTGTTCTAAACATTCATATTTTATGTGCAACAACAGCATATGCTGTCTCAGTGGCCTTACACATGATTTTAAATCTATTTTTTCAAACTTTATGATTTAAATGGGGATGATTGTACTGAGAATAACTTTCATCTTTTCTTCAACTGAATACTGTTTCCGTGCTGTTTTGATGTATTTTAAAGAGTTGGCAGTCAAAATTAAAACTGCTGGATGATAGATATTCTTCATTCTTTATGACAAACAAGAAAATGTGAATTACAGAATGTACGTTTTTAAAATGTATAAATTGCGGTGTACAGTGTTTATTATGAGGGGGTAGAATCCACAGCTCAGTACTCACTACTCAATACTCAAGAGTACTTTTAAATAGGCTACTCTTTTACTCTTACTCAAACAGTTTTTTGGACAAGTACTTTTACTCTACTCACACTACATTTTTTGGAAGGTAATGGTACTTTTACTTGAGTATATTTTTTCAGTACTATTTCCACCACTGGTTAATTATATTATGTTTGACTGTATGAATGCTTCTATCGACTCTTTTTGTAACTTTTTCCCCCCTTCTCTATCTATATTTGTCAATTGCCAATATTGCAACTGATCTATCATTGATTTATTGATTAATTGAATACACGTGTTGACTTGAGGAATTTGATATTAAGTCTTGAATTTTTCTACGAGATTCATACTTCCCATGTCATATTTTATCCACAAAGTAAAAAAAATAAATGTTTTGTACAGTATTTTTTTTTTTAAATCATTAAGATTAATGATTAAAAACACCCCCATTAGAGTATAGTATGTTAATACACTATCATGTAAATCAGCATAAATTAAATTCAGTACAACAAATGATACTACCATGTGTAAACAATTTTAAATATTATACATTAAAATATTAAATACATATTCACATTACAGACTAAGAATGAACAGAGTTAATAGTTTTGGGATGTAATATGACCCAGACATGTTTTTGACATGCTTTGTGAGATTCTTGAATTAGCATTCCATTTCGTTTTCATGTATATATATATATATATATATATATAAAAAGATGTACATCAGTTTAAACAGCTGCAAAAAAAAGAGGCACAAAAAAATGACAACACTTCCTCCTTTTTAGAACTTATCTCTCTTTTAAACTCTAATTTCCTTCCTATGTTTTGCGAGCCAGATAACCGTAAGAGGAACTGCAAATGAGAACAAGTTCAGGATTGCACCTATATGTGTTACGCCATGGAAGAACATATTTCTTAAATGAGTGGTGCAAGCAATGCCATTCAAAGCTTGGAAACGAAACAAAATGCATTGCCTCCAAAACTGTCACTACTACTAATTTCTAATTTACTAGTTTACCCAAAGCAACTTCTACTACTCACAGGTGCAGCACACTTAAGCAATCTGAAATTGAATGTTGTGTTCATGGGATTTTGAAACTACAGCCTTTCAGTCATCATCAGCCCATATCGTCTGCAACAAAAGCAGAACCACACCCAATAGGCTACTTTTCATGATTTTATCATAAACATACTTACTTGCACCATTGTGACCACATGACATGGATTGAGGAGGTAGATCACAGTCTTTGTGGCAAACTTAAACCCAACCTCAACTCCAAAAGTCATGCACAGAGCCACAAGCAACAGGTTCTTGCCCCAGGTGTCTTCCTTGCTCCTCCTGCCATCTTTCCGCACATCTCTGACCTCTTTAGGGACATTGATCTTTTTGATAGCCACCACCACTTCCAGGATAGAAAAGAACACAATGATCAGAGTCTCAAATATTCTCTGTCGGGGAGAGAGGAAGGCTGCACACTCAGGGCCTCCATTGCCCTCAAACATGGGGTCCACCCCTCCATACATCCAGTCCAGCAGACTGTAGATATTATACCGAGACATGTTCCTCTGTTCGTATTGGAAAAGGTACGAACAAGTCGGAATAAAAGACAGGACGCCAACCTCCTGGCGAAACATTAACGTCAAATCTGTATTCGGTGAACGAATGATGAAATGATCGAGGAGGTGGGCAGCCTCTGCTGTTTAATCAGATCCCCGTCCTTTATGTGAAAGACCCCTGTGGAATAGATCTACAGACAATAGGATGCGATGTAGGCTATTATTCATAAATGATCGTCAGGGCAAGTTGTATCCAACGGAGGAAGACGCATTTCCAAAGGTGACGCCTTGATTGGAAACTGATTCTCAGCTAAGACAAGAGTCCAGAATATTCCTTGCCAGAGCGGATCATTACATAAAAGCTTCAAAGAGACCCTTGATCAGCGCCGAGGGGCCTTAAATACATAAACACAACTGCAAAACGCGACTACGACCGATTTGGGAGAGATGTAGCTGGCTGTTACAACGTATCATCCGAAAAAATGCGATAACAGCAAACGCAGAAGGTGCGATGTGTCCTGGTCCATGTGGCGTATCAAAGACCTCCTCACCATAGAAACGCCGCCCTGTTCACGCGGGGCCCCAAAATCCACCCACACCGCAACACGCCTGCGCGTCCACATCCTCCCGAAAACCATCAGCTGCATATTGATATGTCCGTTCGTTTCCAGGAAAAGCACTAGTCGCGCTCGGGGGCCCCGCCTGCTTTTCACAAGTATGTACTAGTTAACTCCCTCACTGCCGGTTTAGCTGTTTTCGTAAATGATAGGCCTACGACACAAATACTAAATATCTTCTACCAGGGAGTCCTGGCTAAAATGGCAGCACAGAAAGTTTCACACAAACAGATTACACAAACACATAAAACCAAAAATATAAGAAAGAATAAAATCTAACCCAGCATCATATGAAAAAAAAAACATAAAACATTCACACGTTTCCTTCAGTAGGACTCCCATCTTTAAATATTTAAAGATGGTTGTGATTTAACACATTGCATCATGCTATCATTTAAAACACACAGCACACATTTAGTTCTTTAAGTAGCCTAGTTGCATAAACGCCGACTTTTATTAGAGAAGACTTTACTTTGTTAAATGTATAAGGAACGGAGCAATTACGCCATTTCTTTTAGGTTAGACGTGTTTGGGGCGTTTTGCAAAGAAGAACCCTAATTAAGTCATGATACATTGATTCAAAAGCGACCTCTCGTGGTAACTGTAGTAACTACACTTCAGTCAAATATTTAGTCTTTTTTGTTTTTCTTTATTTAGTAATTTTATTAACTAAATAAACCTATTAATCCAAATTAATGATACATACAGGTACATGTTGTCTTCAGAACTATTCAGTATATTTATTCGACCCCTTTCAATCTGGCTTCCGTCCACTCCACAGTACTGAAACTGCCCTTGTAAAGGTAGTCAGTGACCTGCTCTCTGGTGATTCTGGCTCTCTCTTTTCTCATATTTCTAGACCTCATTTCACTTTTGAAAGCTATTCTCATTATGTAGGTGTCACAGGCGTTGCTCCCTCTTGGTTTCCCACATATCTCTCTGAAAGACAGTTCTATATCTCAGTGCATACTTTTCAGTTGCCTATACTGTCTCTTTGAAGCAAGGTGTTCCTCAAGGATCTGTTCTCAGGCCGTTACTATTCTTATCTATATACTACTGGTTTCAGCTACCACTGTTATGCAATAGAGCCAACGTTGCAGAACACACCAAAAAAAAACTAAAGCAATGCTCTTTTCATGGGTCTACCTGCTAATTCCATTGCAAGCTACAATATATTCAAATATTCTGCAGCCAGAATACTCACCCACACCATTCTGATTGCTATTTGTGCATCTGTTACATTAATAAAATCATGTGCAGTCCACCCTGATGATAATAATAATTTCTGTTCACAAAAATGTCTGCTGTTTTATTTTATTGTCAAAGATAGAATTTTTTTATTCATTAAAGGGGTCATGAAATGGAGAATCAAAATCCATCCATTCATTTTCCAAACTTCGCTGTCCCACGAGTAGGACAGAGAGGGAGGTTGTGACCAGAGATGGTCTTATTACTGGGAGATACGAGGTTCTACCATTGGAGAAAGTGTAATTGTCAGCTTGAATCATGTGTGCCTTGATAACCTACCACATTACAGCCTTGACGTCATTGATTTCCGACGCCATTGAGTTGAGCCAGTCAATCCCTGTTTGAAGATGCCACAGAAATCATTGAGAAGTACCGTAAACCGAATACTACCTGTTGCAAAATTGTCAGCGACTTCTCTTATAAAACAGTATTTTTTCCAGTGTAAACTCTAAAAATAGATCAATCCAAAAAGTTTCATGGCAAACATGTTGAAGATTAGCGATAGGTGGTTGAGTCATAAAAGCTTGTATAGGCTTGCCTCCAAGTGGCTTTGGTTGTGGCATTGAAGAGCCACACGTTGTTGTCTAATGTGATAAACCATGGTTGCATCCAAAATCGCAAATGCTGAAGTGCATAACCAGTTCTAGATAACCAGTTGACAGTCGTATTTAATCTTTTCTAGACAAACCATGGCTGTGTCCGAAAGCTGAAAAATGCTGCCTTTGGAGAATGCAATCCAAGCAAGGCACGTCCGAATCCAATGTCAGCTTCACTTCCTGTCTCCTGAGATGCCTTCATCTGATCGATTTTTGAAGGCAGCGCAGATGTATATGCCCATGACATCCCGCAATCCTGTGCATTCCCACAATTTTATGACAGTTGAGCTAACAAATAAAAATGGTGTTGCGATTGGTGGTCAGTGTGTAAATGGTTTTTCACCATATTTTTCCACTGTAAGAAGTAATTTCCAACAAGTTAGTATTGAAGTTATTAAATATCCACTTAGTTATCACCAAAGCTCTCTCTATTTTGTTGTAGATCTTGAGTGTGTTTGTAATAAATGTCAAACTAGCATTTAACGCTATTACAGTTTTTATTTATTTACATTTTCAAAACTCTTTGCAACAAAAATCTCAAACTGATCACACTTGTAACACTGCTATTCAATCTTTCAAAACCTGATCTTATGCTTTCATTCAAGTTATGCGTATTTCAATCCACATAATCTTTAGATTACTTTCAAAACAAAAACTCTTTGTAATATGTAATGAGAACAGTTTAGTACTTAAAAAAAAAAACAGTTAATTCAACAGCAAACTAGCAGGCGAGTACATTGTAAACTGTGGGAGGTCAGTTACTTCAACAGTAAATATGACCGGCATTGAGTTTACTGGCATTGGGTGGGGAGAATACTGTGTTATTGTTTTTTCTTTCTTTCTTCTTGTAGATTCATTGAAACCACAAATCTGCCCCTGAGCTGGGAAAGTCTGGGGGGAGAGAGTTGCCCACCGCACCGCTGAAGATTCTTGATTTTGTTGGTTTTAGCCTATACTGTCAATGACTACCACTGATGCATATACGCTAAAGAAAAGACAATCTAAGAAGTCTGTCAAGAGTCTTGATTTACAAAATTTCAAAATTAAATTTGATTCTGACTCACAGAATGCCTTTCAGTTCTACAACAGTCTTTTCTGATCCCATAAAAATCACCGCACCGCTGAAGATTCTTGATTTTGCTGGTTTTAGCCTATACTGTCAATGACTACCACTGATGCATATACGCTAAAGAAAAGACAATCTAAGAAGTCTGTCAAGAGTCTTGATTTTCAAAATTTCAAAATTAAATTTGATTCTGACTCACAGAATGCCTTTCAGTTCTACAACAGTCTTTTCTGATCCCATAAAAATACAATTTAAATTCAAATAACATTTTCTGTGATTTCTCTTATGACACTGTATATTTTTGTATACATTGTGATATCCACATAGTGTTTAAACACACTGGAAATTAATAGACAGGTTGTCAGTTTATGGTGATGAGCTGTTTACTCACAAACGTCAGCGTACTGAACTCAGCGTACTGTAGTCTTTTTTCTTGGCCACACCAGAAATCACGTACTTTCCTACTGAATAGTGGGTGAAAAACAGTATGTGAGAAAAGCAGTATGTCAGAATTCATATAGTATTCATCAAACAGTAGGCGAAATATACCCGGATGACTCACTAATAACTACTTTTTAGATTGCGAAGTGCACATCTGATGGACTTTATTATCGCATGAGGCCACAGGATAATGGATAATGACAACATGATGAATGTAGTCTGTCTGGACTATATTACATACATTTTATACTATATAGAACATACTTTTTAACAGTTGTGATGTAATTTCTTATTTAAAAAGAAGTTCCCACTCAGAGAGTTTGCAATTTGGCGCATGTATAAATGGAGATGCACCATTTATCTAGTTTTTATTTATTTATTTGGTTCCTTGCCATGATTGCCTCTGGTTCACTATAGGGGACTAATGGACTAAAGAATTATGGAATAACGTTCTGACAGAAAGCTGGTCAATATGACCAAAATCTGTGATGACGAGATGATGCATACAGTCTTACAAAGTAGTAATCCAATCTGTAAATCTGCTTTGAAAGTATGTGCATTGTGAAATGCGTTACCAAAATAAACCTGACTTGAAGCCTGTCCAGGCAACATCAAAGACAACACGCAAATAAACAAAAAAGGCCCCGCCTGCAAGTTAGGATGACGGGTGGTGTACGATTTCCTGTACGCATACTCACAAACTGTGCTTTGACTTCCTGTATGCCACACTCCTTCTTAGATGGCAAGGAACTTTATGATTCACCAAAATGTTTATGCAAATTGAAGCCTTTTCGGGGACAGTTAAGGTTAGACTTTTTTAGCAGAATGATGGCATCAGTGCAGAACCCACAGAAGGTCAAATAAGTACAGAATGATGAGATACAGAATGATGTAATGGTCTCACACAAGACATATACATTTGGCACTAGATCTAATTGTTTCCCATGCTTTCCTTTACCTTCAGTATGAGACAGCATCGAAAGTGCTTTTCATCGTCAAACTCACTAGATTAAAAAATTGACTTTAACTTAAGTATGGGTTCTATCTCTGTTCTGTTATCTCAATTATCAGTTACAAGAAAATAAAAATAAGGCAAGAAAAAATGAGTTTGAAAATTAAATATTAATCAATTTTATACCAACATTTTTGTGATTTAAAAAAAAAATTGTTTTTGTACATTTTAATTTTTATTTATTTAATGTGATACAATTCTTGTCTTCTTTCGATGAAATTATCATGTGAAAATAGTTTATTGTATTTAAAAAGACAATGTCTTTTATTTCAGTTCGTTTGTTTATTCACAGTTTTTTTGTACGTACTTTTTTTATTTAGTATGATACAATTCTTGTCTTCTTTCAATAAAACTATCATGTGAAAATAGTTTATTGTATTTAAAAAGAGAATGTCTTTAATTTCAATTAGTTTGGTTATTCAGAATTATTTTTGTACATAATTTTTTTATTTAATATGCTACAATTTTTGTTTTCTTTTGATAAAATTATCATAGAAAAATAGTTCATTGTGTTTAAAAAGAGAATGTCTTTTATTTCAGTTAGATTGTTTATTCACAGTTTTTTTGTACATCATTTTTTTATTTAATATGATACAATTCTTGTCTTCTTTTGATCAAATTATCACATAAAAATAGTTTATTGTATTTAAAAAGAGAATGTCTTTCATTTCAGTTAGTTTGTTTATTCATACTT